TCCTGCTGGAGTCTTAAGGCAGAATTTCTTCTCCAGGAAACCTCAGTTTTTGTTCTTAACGCCTTCATCTGTCTCTGTGCTCTTTTCTTAAACTTTCCTTTTTACTTAACTGTTTATCTATGTACATTTCTACGTCTTATTGGCAACAAGATTCTAAGCCCCTCAAGAGTAGGGATCAGCTCTTACTTCACTGTTGTTTCTCTTGAGTATCTAGCACAGTTGATGTTTATAGTGGGTTTTCTGTTTGTTGAAGACTTATTTTGTGCCACGTAATAAGAGTTACCTTGTTAATACTGAAAATAACAATGCTGTGAGGTAGTTGATATTCCATACTGTGGATTAGAAGACTGGGCCTCTGACCCATCCAAGATCACAAAACTAGTTATGGGTAGAACTTAGATCTGAATCTAATTTTTTTGAATTGTAAGATCATGCTTGGTTTAAGAACGCTATTTAATTTCATTTATTTAATAAGTATTTATTTCTGGATTGGGTTGTTTGTTTTTTAATATTGAGCTGCATGAGCTGTTTATATATTTTGGAGATTAATCCTTTGTCTGTTGATTCGTTTGCAAATATTTTCTCCCATTCTAAGGGTTGTCTTTTCGTCTTTCTTGTACTTTCCTTTGCTGTGCAAAATCTTTTAAGTTTCATTAGGTTCCATTTCTTTAGTTTTGTTTTAATTTTCATTTCTCTAGGAGGTGGATCAAAAAAGATCTTGCTGTGATTTATGTCAAAGGGTGTTCTTCCTATGTTTTCCTCTAAGAGTTTTATACTGTCTGGCCTTACATTTAGGTCTTTAATCCATTTTGAGTTTATTTTTTTGTATGGTGTTAGGGAGTGTTCTAATTTAATTCTTTTACATGTAGATGTCCAGTTTTCCCAGCACCACTTACTGAAGAGGCTTTCTTTTCTCCACTGTGTATTCTTGCATCCTTTATCCAAAAAAAGGTGACCATATGTGCATGGGTTTCTCTCTGGGCTTTCTATCCTGTTCCATTGATTTATATTTCTTTTTTGGTGCCAGTACCATACTGTCTTTTTTTTTTTTTTTTTTTTTTTCTTTGTTATCCTAGTGACCTTCCCCTCAGAAGTCGCCTTTGGTCTGAATTCCTTAATCCACGTCAAGCTGTCCGCGTCTTTCCTTCCCTAACGCACAGAGTGTCTCTCGCTGAACTTTGCATTCTGGCAGATCCTGCATCGGCAGGCGGACTCTCAAGCACTGCGCCACCAGGGAAGCCCCATACTGTCTTGATGACTGTAGCTTTGTAGTATAGTCTGAAGTCCGGGAGCCTGATTGCTCCAGCTCCGTTTTCTTTCTCAAGATTGCTTTGGCTATTTGGGGTCTTTTGTGTTTCCACACAAATGGTGAAAAACTTTTTTCTAGTTCTGTGAAAAATGCCATTGGTAATTTCATAGGGATTGCACTGAATCTGTAGATTGCTTTGGGTAGTATAGTCATTTTCACAATATTGATTCTTCCAATCCAAGAACATGGTATATCTCTCCATCTGTTCTGTATCATCTTTAATTTCTTTCATCAGAGTCTTATGCATCAGTTTTCTGCATACAGGTCTTTTGTCTCCTTAGGTAGGTTTATTCCTAGGTATTTTATTCTTTTTGTTGCAGTGGTAAATGGGAGTGTTTCCTTAATTTCTCTTTCAGATTTCTCATCATTAGTGTATAGGAGGGCAAGAGATTTCTGTGCATTAATTTTGTATCCTGCTACTTTACCAAATTCATTGATTAGTTTTCTGGTAGAGTCTTTAGGATTCTCTATGTATAGTATCATGTCATCTGCAGACAGTGACAGCTTTACTTCTTCTTTTCCAATTTGGATTCCTTTTATTTCTTTTTCTTCTCTGATTGCCATGGCTAAGACTTCCAAAACTATGTTCAATAATAGTGGTGAGAGTGGACATCCTTGTCTTGTTCCCGATCTTAGAGGAAATGGTTTCAGTTTTTCACCATTGAGAATGATGTTTGCTGTGGGTTTATCGTATATGGCCTTTATTATGTTGAGGTAGGTTCCCTCTATGCCCACTTTCTGGAGAGTTTTTATCATAAATCGTTGTTGAATTTTGTCAAAAGCTTTTTCTGCATCTATTGAGATGATCATATGGCTTTTATTCTTCAATTTGTTAATATGGTGTATCACATTGATTGGTTTACGTATATCGAAGAATCCTTCCATCCCTGGGATAAATCCCACTTGGTCATGGTATATGATCCTTTTAACGTGTTGTTGGATTCTGTTTGCTAGTATTTTGTTGAGGATTTTTGCATCTATATTCATCAGTGATATTGGTCTGTAATTTTCTTTTTTTGTAGTATCTTTGTCTGGTTTTGTTATCAGAGTGATGGTGGCCTCATAGAATGAGTTTGGGAGTGTACCTTCCTCTGCAACTTTTTGGAAGAGTTTGAGAAGGATGGCTGTTAGCTGTTCTCTAAATGTTTGATAGAATTCACCTGTGAAGCCATCTGGTCCTGGACTTTTGTTTGTTGGAAGAGTTTTAATCACAGTTTCAATTTCATTACTTGTGATTGGTCTGTTCATATTTTCTGTTTCTTCCTGGTTCAATCTTGGAAGCTTATACCTTTCTAAGAATTTGTCCATTTCTTCCAGGTTGTCCATTTTATTAGCACAGAGTTGCTTGTAGTAGTCTCTTAGGATGCTTTGTATTTCTGCGGTGTCTGTTGTAACTTCTCCTTTTTCATTTCTAATTTTAATGATTTGAGTCCTCTCCCTCTTTTTCTTGATGAGTCTGGCTAATGGTTTATCAATTTTGTTTATCTTCTCAAAGAACCAGCTTTTCATTTTATTGATCTTTCCTATTGTTTTCTTCATTTCTATTTCATCTATCTCTTCTCTGAACTTTATGATTTCTTTCCTTCTACTAACTTTGGGTTTTGTTTGTTCTTCTTTCTCTAGTTCATTTAGGTGTAAGGTTAGATTGTTTATTTGAGATGTTTGTTGTTTCTTGAGGTAGGATTGTATTGCTATAAACTTCCCTCTTAGAACTGCTTTTGCTGCATCCCATAGGTTTTGGATCGTTGTGTTTTCATTGTCATTTGTCTCTAGGTATTTTTTGATTTCCTCTTTGATTTCTTCAGTGATCTCTTGGTTATTTAGTAACGTGTTGTTTAGCCTCCATGTGTTTGTCTTTATTACGCTTTTTTCCCTGTAATTGATTTCTAGTCTCATATCATGGTGGTCAGAAAAGATGCTTGATATGATTTCAGTTTTCTCAAATTTAGTGAGGCTTGATTTGTGACCCGCGATGTGATCAATCCTGGAGAATGTTCCATGCACACTTGAGAAGAAAGTGTAATCTGCTGTTTTTGGATGGAATGTTTGGATGATCTGTCCATTGGTGTAAGTGAGGTGTTAAAGTCCCCCACTATTATTGTGTTACTGTCGATTTCCTCTTTTATAGCTGTTAGCAGTTGCCTTATGTATTGAGGTGCTCTTATGTTGGGTGCATGTTTGTTTTTTGTTTGTTTTTTTTTGCAGTACGCGGGCCTCTCACTCTTGTGGCCTCTCCCGTTGCAGAGCACAGGTTCCGAATGTGCAGGCTCAGCGGCCATGGCTCACGGGCCTAGCCGCTCTGCGGCATGTGGTATCTTCCCGGACCAGGGCACAAACCCATGTCCCCTGCATCGGCAGGCGGACTCTCAACCACTGCGCCACCAGGGAAGCCCCATGTATATTTATAATTGTTACATCTTCTTCTTGGATTGATCCCTTGATCATTATGTAGTGTCCTTCTTTGTCTTTTGTAACATTCTTTTTTTTAAAGTCTATTTTATCTGATGTGAGTATTGCTACTCCAGCTTTCTTTTGATTTCCATTTGCATGGAATATCTTTTTCCATCCCCTCACTTTCAGTCTGTATGTGTCCCTAGGTCGGAAGTGGGTCTCTTGTAGACAGCATATATATGGGGCTTGTTTTTGTATCCATTCAGCGAGACTGTGTCTTTTGGTTGGACCATTTAATCCATTCACGTTTAAGGTGATTATCGATATGTATGTTCCTATTACCATTTTCTTAATTGTTTTGGGTTTGTTTTTGTAGGTCCTTTTCTTCTCTTGTGTTTCCCACTTAGAGAAGTTCCTTTAACATTTGTTGTAGAGCTGATTAGGTGGTGCTGAATTCTCTTAGCTTTTGCTTATCTGTAAAGCTTTTGATTTCTCCATCGAGTCTGAATGAGATCCTTGCCGGGTAAGGCAATCTTGGCTGTAGGTTTTTCCCTTTCATCACTTTAAATATGTCATGCCACCCCCTTCTGGCTTGTAGAGTTTCTGCTGAAAAATCAGCTGTTTACCTTATGGGAGTTCCCTTGTATGTTGTTTGTCGTTTTTCCCTTGCTGCTTTCGATAATTTTTCTTTGTCTTTAATTTTTGCCTATTTGATTACTATGTGTCTTGGTGTGTTTCTCCTTGGGTTTATCCTGTATGGGACTCTCTGTGCTTCCTGGACTTGGGTGGCTATTTCCTTTCCCATGTTAGAGAAGTTTTCGACTATAATCTCTTCATTTATTTTCTCAGGTCCTTTCTCTCTCTCTTCTCCTTCTGGGACCCATATAATACGAATGTTGTTGTGTTTAATGTTGTCCCAGAGGTCTCTTAGGCTGCCTTCATCTCTTTTCATTCTTTTTTCTTTGTTCTTTTCCACAGCAGTGAATTCCACTATTCTGTCTTCCAGGTCACTTATCCATTCTTCTGCCTCAGTTATTCTGCTATTGATTCCTTCTAGTATAGTTTTCATTTCAGTTATTGTATTGTTCATCTGTGTTTGTTCTTTAATTCTTCTAGGTCTTTCTTAAACATTTCTTGCATCTTCTCGATCTTTGCCTCCATTCTTTTTCTGAGGTCCTGGATCATCTTCGCTATCATTATTCTGAATTCTTTTTCTGGAAGGTTGCCTATCTCCACTTCATTTAGTTGTTTTTCTGGGGTTTTATCTTGTTCCTTCATCTGATACATAGCCATCTGCCTTTTTGTCTTGTCTATCTTTCTGTGAATGTGGTTTTTGTTCCACAGCTTGCACGACTGTCGTTCTTCTTGCTTCTGCTGTCTGCCCTCTGGTGGGTTAGGTTATCTGAGAGGCTTGTGCAAGTTTCCTGATGGGAGGGACTGGTGGTGGGTAGAGCTGGCTGTTGCTCTGGTGGGCAGAGCTCAGTAAAACTTTAATAGGCTTGTCTGCTGATGGGTGGGGCTGGGTTCCCTCCCTGTTGGTTGTTTGGCCTGAGGGGACCCAACACTGGGGTCTTTGGTGGGGCTAATGGCAGACTCTGGGAGGACTCACGCCAAGGAGGACTTCCCAGAACTTCTGCTGCCAGTGTCCTTGTCCTCACGGTGAGACACAGCCACCCCCTGCCTTTGCAGGTGACCCTCCAACACTAGCAGGTAGGTCTGGTTCAGTCTCCTATGGGGTCACTGCTCCTTCCCCTGGGTCCTGATGTGCACAGTATTTTGTGTGTGCCCTCCAAGAGTGGAGTCTCTGTTTGTCCCAGTCCTGTCAAAGTCCTGCAGTCAAATCCTGCTAGCTTTCAAAGTCTGATTCTCTAGGAAATCCTCCTCCCATTGCTGGACCCCCAGCTTCAGAAGCCTGACGTGGGGCTCAGAACCTTCACTCCAGTGGGTGGACTTCTGTGGTATAAGAGTTCTCCAGTTTGTGAGTCACCCACCGAGCAGTTATGGGATTTGATTTTATTGGGGTTTTTTTGGTTTTTTGTTTGTTTGTTTTGCGGTTCACGGGCCTCTCACTGCTGCAGCCCCCACCACTGCAGAGCACAGGCTCCGGACGCGCAGGGTCAGCGGCCATGGCTCACAGGCCAAGCCACTCCACGGCATGTGGGATCCTCCCGGACTGGGTCATGAACCCGCGTTCCCCGCATCGGCAGGCGGACTCCCAACCACTGCGCCACCAGGGAAGCCCCTGATTTTATTGTGATTGCACCCCTCCTACTGTCTCATTGTGGCTTCTCCTTTGTCTTTGGATGTGGGGTATCTTTTTTGGTGAGTTCCAGCGTCTTCCTGTCGATGATTGTTCAGCATTTAGTTGTGATTCCGGTGTTCTCGCAAGAGGGAGTGACGTACAAAATCTGGTCTCGCGCCCCTGCGCAGTGGCACCTCCAGCGCCCGGTAGGGCCGAGCACCTGGGAATCCTATCCCCTTATGTATCCATCTGGAAGCTTTTGACAGATAGATGTTTGGTTTATGGGTGATGGGCCATCATTATGCCTAAATCAGTTACACTACCCTCTTCTAGCTTTGAAAATTCTATGATCTGAGACATTTGACAATTTCTATTCTCTAATTTGCTTGCCTAAGGTGTGACAGGTGCACAATAACTTTTCATTTCCATGCTGCTTTATAGGATAATCTTTTTGAAGGCATTTTAAGTGACAATTAGGGAATTCATGTGAGTTAAAATTCACCAGTGTTATCAATGTGAAAATAACTGAAGTGACGATCAAATGAATAGATGCCTTACATTCATAGCTAACTTCTAGTATATGCAGGCTCCAACAACCAAGGCACACCTTAGTCCTCTGTTGGCATCTGGCAGATTTCTTTCAACAGAAGTCATAAGATTCATCCTCATTTCAGAATAGGTAATGTGAAAAAGTCTTAGAACCAAAGAAATATGGTATTTAACTATTTGGGAAAAAATGGGATTGTCCAAGTGAATTGGATATCTTTGTACTTTATGATGCTGCATATAACGATAGTAATGACAGAACTCTTGAGATAGCTAAAACTAAAAGTTCACTTTTATGGTATAAGTATTTTTTTTCATATGGTGATAAAATAATCAATGTCAATTTCTCCGTAGAACTACTTTCTGCTTTCTTCTTCAATGGATAAAACAGTCAGGTTATGGCACATTTCCAGAAGAGAATGCCTTTGCTGTTTTCAGCATATAGATTTTGTCACTGCCATAGCTTTCCATCCAAGAGTAAGTATTTATGTGTTTTTTTGTTATACTATGAGGAAGGTGAGGGAACCAGGTTTCTCTGGAGGATAATTGGACTTCAGGAAAAAAATTATTAATATCCACATAGTTAAGAGCAACTTAATTTAGTGTTTCATTCTGCTTTAAAAATAAGAAAGGAAATAAATATTGTGCTAATCTTCATTAGAAGAGCTGGAAATATTATAGTCCAAATATGACAGTGAAAAGTCATCCCAAATCTTTAATAAGACCTGCAGGGTATAAGTAAAGAAATAAAATATCCTATTAAAGAGGAGAGAGGTTGGAGACAGTGGAAGAATTAAAGACGGCAGGTAAATAAATGAGAAAGGGAAGCATATAGGCAGGAATAGTTGTAGGAGGGTCAGGAAGGGAAGAGACAAAGAGGAAAAGGTTGAAAGAGGCAAAGACCAAAATTCATTACAAGATAGACTGAATTCCTATTTCAGGTCTGAAAACATTGTTAATCTTGAGATCCCTTCATACTCATTTTCAATGTAGAAAATCCTTTAATATCTTTCCTCTAGAAAGAATTTCATATGATTTCAACTAAAGGAGAAAAATCTACCGTCATGGACTCCAGACCTATCTTATGCCCTTATAGGATAGAGCCACCAAATGCATGAGGCTAGAGTAGTTTTAGTTCTTTGCAGCTGTAAGCACAAGGGATGTCACGTGTTGGCACTGCTTCACTAGCTGGGTTGAAATAAGTGGAGGGCTTCAGCTGACCCTCGTTGACTTTCCCTCCGCTACATTTGTGTATGATTACATTTCCAATCATGTCCTCATCTCTATGTGTTTAGTACCCATTGTCTTTTTAATGCAGCCTTTCAATTATATTGACATTTCTTTCTCTCCTTCCCCAAATTAAGAGAGAAGAATGACTTTTTTCTCTCAATATAATTTCCCTCCCTGGGCAGGCTTATAACATAGGCAGTAATAATTCTGAACCCTTAGAGAAGATTTTATTAAGAACTTTTGAAAATTAAAAATGCTTAATCTATGTTAATACTGTATCAGTTTTGACCATCAAGCTTTCGAGGCTTCTTTCTAAATAATATCCCCATCCTGTCACCTAAGGGTGCAACAAAAGGATAGATTTTACCCCTGTCAGCACCTGTGAGCAAAATCCCCCCACCTCTATTTTAACTATAATGTATCAAGATGGAAAGAGAGGGGTATTAGGTGGTAATAGTTATCTATGTAGTACTTTATTATTAAGGCTTCTGTTTAGTCAATAATTTTCCTATACTTTTATTTGGTTTTATTTTGGAAACTGAAAAGCCTTATTTCTGAAAATTCTACTGACCTGGAGAATTTATGAGAGGGGCTAGGGAAGAATGGGGTGGTGTTGACGTTTTCCTAGGAAATATGACTCTATCAAATAATGTTACCTAGAGGAAACGAAGCACAGTCATAAAAGAAATAGCAAAATGGAGATACACACACATGTACACACGTGTATATATGTATGTAAATAAAATTCTGAATTGTAAGACCAAGATGAAGTATTTTTATTTGTTCAGCACTTGTGCTGGTAGACATTGAGTTGAGCCTACTGTACCATAGCCATAAAAATGCCTGTTCTATGAAGGTTATCCTTGACGGACCTGAGAAGTGGGTAAGAATAATAATCTTGAGTGGAAAAGAAAATCTGTTTCTTGTTTTGGCATCCCAATTATTTTATTTTCTTTTTAATTCTTATGTTACCAAAAATTAGAGCAGCTTCATGGTAGGCTTGGTTAAGTTTAGAACAGGGTTTCTAAACCTTGGCACTAATGGCATTTGGGGTTGGATAATTCTTTTTTGTAGAGAGAGGAAAGGCTGTCCTGTGCATTGTACGCTGTTTAGCAGCATTCCTGGCCTCTACCCACTAGATGTCAGTAGCGCCCCACCCTCTAAATTGTGACAATTCCAAACTGTCTCCAGACGTGTCAGAGTTCCAAAAATTGACTGGTTCTGTGGGCTAACTGGCATTAGTTACTCTTTTATCCATCTGTTACATGTATCCCAAGGAAGGTATGGGCAAATGTACCATTTTAGGATAGTGTTTCCCAAAGCATGTTCCTTGAATTGCTAGCGCTGCTAGATGTCCCTACCTGACCCCCAAAAAAGTCGCCCCATTAAAGATTCAGAGTGCGTGTTAACTGAGAATCCTGTTTAACTTTCTGTAACCCAGAATTTCTCAAGCTTATTTGACCACAGAACCCTTCTACACAATGTATACTCAAACACATTATCTATTAACAGCTATACCTTGGGAAAAGCAGTTTAAGGTTATGATAGAGTGATTAGAATGTCATTTCTCCAAAATGAATACTGAGGTTTCTAATTGTTGTTATTTTTAGTGACTGAAATAATGCTTACTTTAATACTTTTAAAATGAAATCTATATATTTTAACATTATTTCTAATAGACTTAATTTATTGATTTGCTAATGAGTTTTTCTTCATGTGATAAAATGAAAGCTTCCTCTTTCATCACATTTTTAGGATGACAGGTATTTTCTAAGTGGGTCATTGGATGGAAAGCTCCGCCTTTGGAACATACCTGACAAAAAAGTGGCTTTGTGGAATGAAGTAGATGGTCAAACAAAATTGATCACAGCTGCAAATTTCTGTCAGAATGGCAAATATGCAGTGATTGGGACATATGATGGCAGGTGTATTTTCTATGATACGGAGGTAAATGACTGTCTTGTATAAATTACATACTTGAATACTTAGATACTTTTGTGGTTTGGAATAAGTTGGTGTATCCTCTCTGGGCTTTAACTGCCTTATCTGTAAATTGGGACAAATAATACCATGTTTGTCTGTGAGTTGGCTCAGATGATCTTTGAGTTTCTTTCTAATTCTGATCTTTTTAAATTGTGATTTTTTTTTTTTAGCATTTGAAATACCACACACAGATACATGTCCGATCTACCAGAGGGCGCAACAAGGTTGGAAGAAAAATTACTGGCATTGAACCTTTACCTGGAGAAAATAAGGTACTAGGTATTCAAAACCATCTGTCTCCACACTATATATAGACTCCTGAAAGTAAGTTCTTCATATCTTAGCTAAGAATATATTTCCTTTCCTATGGAATATTGCTTTTTCTAGTTTTGAGATATGTTCTGTACGTGTCTAACACCCTTTTTTGGTTGTACTTAGCACAGATTAAAAGATGGCATTTTAAACTTTTCCTTTGATTTGTTTTTAGATACTGGTAACTTCAAATGACTCCAGAATCAGACTATATGATCTTAGAGATTTGTCACTGTCCATGAAGTATAAGGGTTATGTCAACAGCAGCAGCCAGATCAAAGCAAGTTTCAGGTAAATTGACAATGAGGAATTCCCAAAAGGGATCAGAACATTTCTCCCCTACTCCCATTTTTCCGTTGATCTATGGCTTATGTTTATATGGTGCTGTTAGTTACTTTGCAGTTTTACAACTGGTGTCTCATATTATCAGTCCTACTTACATTATCCAGCTGTTTGGTAGAGTTCGAATTGCCCCTGCTCTGCGGATGAAGAAACCAACACCCAGAAAATTAAGTAATTTGCCTAAAGTCACACTGGTAGTTGCAGAACCAGGATTAGAAGACCCAGCTCCAGAATTTGTGCTTTTGTACTTTCATGTATGCTTTCTAAGAGGAGATTTACCCCACCACCGCCCACCCCACCCATGGTCTTGATCCTTTTAGGTACAGAAGCTAATAAAGCATTTCGAGACCCTAAAGTACAGTGTCCTGTACTTATACCTTTGCATATCATTATTATTTGAACTGTTAGTTTGCGATCTGCAGGCTCTCCTGAAATACCTACCTTTTCTTCCTTTATAGCCCTCCTTATTTCAGCTCTTTTCTTACCAGTTCTCCTTTCTTCTTGAATTACCCAGTAATTTAATTGGTAAAGCATTCTGCTTCTCTCTTTTATCTCTTAAGTAGGCACTCATCCCAGTGTCGGTTAACCCAGCAGCAGTTACCTAGAGCTTCGATGAAAATACTAATGCCACTGGCCACCCATGTCAAACCTACACGTTCAGGACCTCTGGAGTGAGACTAGGAGTCTGTATTTCAACAAGTTCTCTTGGCTCTTTTCTTAGGTGTTTCAAACTAGAAAGCTCTGATAGAGGGAAACCTAAAAAACCCCACAACTTTGATTTTTTTTTCTTTCTTCTCTAAATGTAGCCATGATTTTAGTTACCTCGTTAGTGGCTCAGAAGATAAGTATGTTTATATCTGGAGTACTTACCATGACTTAAGCAAGTTTACTTCAGTGAGGAGAGATCGTAATGACTTTTGGGAAGGTATTAAAGGTAAGTAAATACATACTTTTATGTGTCTTATAAGTGAATAAAGTTAAAATGGAGATGTATTATAAGTAAATTTGTATAGGCTTTATTTCAGAGAGATAGTTTGGCAGTTTTAACTGCTTTCGCATTGTATTGGCTTTGTTTGATTTTTCTGTACCAAGGAAGAATGTATACTTGTCTAAAATTTGAGAAGTCATGGAATCTCAGAACTTGTATGTGGTTTTGGTGGGTTTTTTTTTTTTAACATCTTTATTGGAGTATAATTGCTTTACAGTGGTGTGTTACTTTCTGCTTTATAACAAAGTGAATCAGCTATACATATACATATATCCCCATATCTCCTCCCTCTTGCATCTCCCTCCTACTCTCCCTATCCCACCCCTCTAGGTGGTCACAGGACACCAAGCTGATCTCCCTGTGCTATGCGGCTGCTTCCCACTAGCTATCTGTTTTACATTTGGTAGAGTATATATGTCCATGCCACTCTCTCACTTCGTCCCAGCTTACCCTTCTCCCTCTCCGTGTCCTCAAGCCCATTCTCTACGTCTGCATCTTGATTCCTGTCCTTCCCCTAGGCTCTTCAGAACCATTTTTTTTTTAATTTTTAGATTCCATATACATGTGTTAGCATACGGTATTTGTTTTTCTCTTTCTGACTTATTCACTCTGTATGACAGACTCTGGGTCCATCCACCTCACTACAGATAACTCAATTTCATTCCTTTCTATGTCTGAGTAATATTCCATTGTATATACGTGCCATATCTTCTTTATCCATTCATCTGTCGATGGACACTTAAGTTGCTTCCTTGTCCGGGCTATTGTAAATAGAGCTGCAATGAACATTGTGGTCCATGACACTTTTTGAATTATGGTTTTCTCGGGGTATATGCCCAGTAGTAGGATTGCTGGGTCATATGGTAGTTCTATTTTTAGTTTTTTAAGGAACCTCCATACTGTTCTCCATAGTAGCTGTATCAATTTACATTCCCATCAACAGTGAAAGAGGGTTCCCTTTTCTTCACACCCTCTCCAGCATTTATTGTTTGTAGACTTTTTGATGATGGCCATTCTGACTGGTGTGAGGTGATACCTCATTGTAGTTTTGATTTGCATTTCTCTAATGATTAGTGATGTTGAGCATCCTTTCATGTGTTTGTTGGCAATCTGTATATTTTCTTTGGAGAAATGCCTATTTAGGTCTTCTGCCCATTTTTGGATTGGGTTGTTTGTTTTGTTGATATTGAGCTACATGAGCTGCTTGTGAATTTTGGAGAATAGTCCTTTGTCAGTTGCTTCATTTGCAAATATTTTCTCCCATTCTGAGGGTTGTCTTTTCATCTTGTTTATGGTTTCCTTTGCTGTGCAAAATCTTTGAAGCTTCATTAGGTCCCATTCATTTATTTTTGTTTTTCTTTCCATTTCTCTAGGAGGTGGGTCAAAAAGGATCTTGCTGTGATTTATGTCATAAAGTTTTCTGCCTATGTTTTCCTCTAAGAGTTTGATAGTGTCTGGCCTTACATTTAGGTCTTTAATCCATTTTGAGTTTATTTTTGTGTATGGTATTAGAGAGTGTTCTAATTTCCTTCTTTTACATGTAGCTGTCCAGTTTTCCCAGCACCACTTATTGAAGGGCTGTCTTTTCTCCATTGTATATTTGTGCCTCCTTTATCAAAAGTAAGGTGACCATATGTGCATGGGTTTATCTCTAGGCTTTCTATCCTGTTCCATTGATCTATATTTCTGTTTTTGTGCCAGTACCATACTGTCTTGATGACTGTAGTTTTGTAGTATAGTCTGAGGTCCAGGAGCCTGATTCCTCCAGCTCCGTTTTTCTTTCTCAAGATTGCTTTGGCTGCTCGGGGTCTTTTGTGTTTCCATACAAATTGTGACATTTTTTGTTCTAGTTCTGTGAAAAATGCCACTGGTAGTTTGATAGGGATTGCACTGAATCTGTAGATTGCTTTGGGTAGTAGAGTCATTTTCACAATGTCGATTCTTCCAGTCCAAGAACATGGTATATCTCTCTATCTGTTTTGTATCATCTTTAATTTCTTTCATCAGTGTCTTATAGTTTTCTGCATACAGGTCTTTTGTCTCCTTAGGTAGGTTTATTCCTAGGTATTTTATTCTTTTTGTTGCAGTGGTAAATGGGAGTGTTTCCCTAATTTCTCTTTCAGATTTCTCATCATTAGTGTATAGGAGGGCAAGAGATTTCTGTGCATTAATTTTGTATCCTGCTACTTTACCAAATTCATTGATTAGCTCTAGTAGTTTTCTGGTAGAGTCTTTAGGATTCTTTATGTATAGTATCATGTCATCTGCAGACAGTGACAGCTTTACTTCTTTTCCAATTTGTATTCCTTTTATTTCTTTTTCTTCTCTGATTGCCATGGCTAAAACTTCCAAAACTATGTTGAATAATAGTAGTGAGAGTGGACAACCTTGTCTTGTTCCTGATCTTAGAGTAAATGGTTTCAGTTTTTCACCATTGAGAACAATGTTGCCTGTGGGTTTGTGATATATGGCCTTTATTTTGTTGAGGTAAGTTCCCTCTATGCCTACTTTCTGGAGGGTTTTTTATCATAAGTGGGTGTTGAATTTTATCAAAAGCTTTTTCTGCATCTATTGAGATGATGATATGGTTTTTCTCCTTCAATTAATATGGTGTATCACATTGATTGATTTGTGTATATTGAAGAATCCTTGCATTCCTGGGATAAACCCCACTTGATCATGGTATATGATCCTTTTAATGTGCTATTGGATTCTGTTTGCTAGTATTTTGTTGAGGATTTTTGCATCTATGTTCATCGGTGATATTGGCCTGTAGTGTTCTTTCTTTGTGTCATCTTTGTCTGGTTTTGGTATTAGGGTGATGGTGGCCTCGTAGTATGAGTTTGAGAGTGTACCTCCCTCTGCTATATTTTGGAAGAGTTTGAGAACGTTATGTGTTAACTCTACTTTAAATGTTTGATAGAATTCGCCTGTGAAGCCATCTGGTCCTGGGCTTTTGTTTGTTGGAAGATTTTTAATCACAGTCTCAATTTCAGTGCTTGTGATTGGTCTGTTTATATTTTCTGTTTCTTCCTGGTTCAGTCTCGGAAGGTTGTGCTTTTCTAAGAATTTGTCCATTTCTTCCAGGTTGTCCATTTTATTGGCATAGAGTTGCTTGTAGTAATCTCTCATGATCCTTTGTATTTCTGCCATGTCAGTTGTTACTTCTCCTTTTTCATTTCTAATTCTGTTGATTTGAGTCTTCTCCTTTTCTTTCTTGATGAGTTTGGCTAAGGGTTTATCAGTTTTGTTTGTCTCCTCAGAGAACCAGGGTTTAGTTTTATTGATCTTTGCTGTTGTTTTCTTCAGTTCTTTTTCATTTATTTCTGCTCTGATCTTTATGATTTCTTTCCTTCTGCTAACTTTGGGAGTTTTTTGTTCTTCTTTCTCTAATTGCTTTAGGTGTAAGGTTAGGTTGTTTATTTGAGATATTTCTTGTTTCTTTTGGTAGCATTGTATTGCTATAAACTTCCCTCTTAGAACTGCTTTTGCTGCATCCCATAGGTTTTGGGTCGTCGTGTTTTCATTGTCATTTGTTTGTAGTTATTTTTTGACTTCCTCTTTGGTTTCTTCTGTGACCTCTTGGTTATTTAGTAGTGTATTGTTTAGCTTCCATGGGTTTGTATTTTTTACAGGTTTTTTCCTGTAATTGATATCTAGTCTCATAGTGTTGTGGTCGGAAAAGATACTTGATACGATTTCAATTTTCTTAAATTTACCAGGGTTTGATTTGTGACCCAAGATATGGTCTATCCTGGAAAATGTTCCATGAGCAGTTGAGAAGAAAGTGAATTCTGTTGTTTTTGGATGGAATGTCCTATAAATATCAATCAAGTCCATCTTGTTTAATGTATCAGTTAAAGCTTGTGTTTCCTTATTTATTTTCATTTTGGATGATTTGTCCATTGGTGAAAGTGGGGTGTTAAAGTCCCCTACTATGATGGATTTGGTTTCTTTTAAGAAAATATTTTTGGGTTTTAAATAGTTCTTAGTTACTTATATGTTAGTTTTTAAAGGTACTTGCATATAACATACACTATTATGTTTTTTGAAATATTATACTTTTTGTCTTGATGTTTGGAATCAAGTTTATTAGTTGTCTTAAAGTAAATTTTTTTTCCCAGCCCATAATGCAGTTGTTACATCAGCCATCTTTGCTCCAAACCCAAGTTTGATGTTGTCTTTGGATGTGCAGTCTGAAAAATCAGAAGGGAACGATAAAGGTGAAGATGCTGAAGTTTTGGATAACATGCCCTCTGGTAGGTATTCATATTTTATTTGTCCTTCGTTTTCTCTAGTCAGCCTTTAGTAGCCTCATTGACCTGTGGGTATTATGAGGTCTTCATGAGTATGAAGAATATTTCTTCTATGCAGCATAATGGTTGTCAGATGTTCATTTCTGAACATTTTGGTAATATAGTTCTTGCAAGTTTTACTTCTTTTAAATTCACCTGGGAATTAAAACTGAAACTTTTGAAAGTTGGTAATTTTTTTTATGGACAACTATTCTCTTTAGAGAAATGCAAACCAGACATAAATATATACAAGATAAATTATCTGTCTCTGCTGCACTATAATCTCTGTGAGGGCAAAGATTTTATGTGTTTTATTTATTGTTGTAGGGCCAGTGCCTAGCACAGTGCTTGCCTGCATATAGTAGGTGCTTAATAAACATTTACTGAATAAGTGAGTTAAACCAAAATGAAAGCAGTGTTCTTTTCTAATTGCCACAAATTTACAGCTTCTCATAGATAGCTATTTACAAGCCAGTAATTCTTGCCCTTTGCAGCAAATACTTGGAGAAGGAATAGTACTTTCAATTATACAAAATGCTCAGATTAGGAAGTGAAAAGAAACCGTCAAGTAGTATTGAGTGCCAGTTATATAAAAATGGTCCCTGTTAATTCTTAAGAGTAAGGTAAAACCATGGAAACTTGGACCAGTTGTTAATGAAGACAAGTTTGTATTGTTAAAATCTATTGTGGAATATTTTATTAAATGTGTTTTCTCACTTTAGAGACTATACCCAGGCCTTGTAGAGAGTTATAAAGTCACAACAATAGATACAATGTAGTAAGAGTGCTTCTAAAAGTATTTGAATACTAAAAAGTTCTCAAGTATTTTTATCTCATTTAATATCCAGTAATTTCCCTTGCGGCATTATTTGCACTATACACTGTACTAAATACGCTATTTCTTCTGTCTGTGAAGAAAAATTTTGATAGCAAAGATGAACTTCAATCTAGCACTTCTTTCTTTTTTTTTTATTTAAATATTTATTTATTTATTTATTCATTTGGTTGCACTGGGTCTTACTTGTGGCAGTCAGGCTCCTTAGTTGTGGCATGTAGGATCTAGTTCCCTGACCAGGGATCGAACCCAGACCCTCTGCATTGGGAGCATGGAGTCTTATCCACTGTGCCACCAGTGAAGCCCCTAGCACTTCTTTCAATTACCAGATTTAAAAATCAACCAACTCAGAATTATTACACCTTTACTAAATGCCTGTTTGAAAATATTTCTTTTGATTTTCTTTTTCTTTTTTTCTCACAGTCAAATCCTACTTCTCTCTTCTAAATCAAGTCATTTGGTTGGGTTTTTTTCCTTTTCTTTTTCCCCAATACCTTTTTACACTCTGCACATTTCCCCTACACATTGAACAGAAAATTCTAGCTTTTTAAACCATTTGAGGAAAAATGAAAATTACCTTTTTTAAACTTCTCAAACTGCACCATATTAACATGGTTCAGTTATTACTTCACTGCGTCCTTTTTAAGGAGGCACAACTTTGGATCATACTCAGATTTGTGTTTGCTGTTTTGTACCTATATAGGTATACTCTAAGAATAAACTCTTAAACTCGGGGTATGAGATCATAAAATATATCTGATTGCCCTCCTCTTTATTCTGACGTATTTGGCAACGTAAGCTTCAGTTTTCCTCATGTTTAAAATGGTGATAATACCTCGTTTATAAGGTTGTGATATGGGCAGAAGACCTCAATAGACATTTCTCCAAAGAAGACCTACAGATGACCAACAGGCACATGAAAAGATGCTCCACATCGCTAATCATTAGAGAAATGCAAATCAAAACTACAGTATACACACACACACACACACACACACAGGAATATTACTCAACCGTAAAAAAGAATGAAATAATGTCATTTGCAGCAATGTGGATGGACCTAGCGATTATCATATTAAGTGAAGTAAGTCAGAGAAAGACAAATATATCACTTATATGTGGAATCTAAAAAATAGTGCACATGAACTTATTTACAAAACAGAAACAGACTCACAGACATAGAAAACAAACTTATGGCTACCAATGAGGAAGGGGGGGAGGGATAAACTAGGAGTATCTCCGATTTGCTGTACACCTGAAATTAACACAGTATTTTAAATCAACTATACTTCAATTTAAAAAAAAAAAGATGTAGCTGAAAACTAAAAAAAAAAAGACAAAACAAGGCTGTGAGAAGAATTAAAGATAACACATGTAAGGTGTCTAGCAAAATGCCTGGCATGTAATAGACATTATCATCTTCATTATATTGTATCTTATAAGGCATTTATATATATATATATATATATATATATGATGAATTCTTTTCGTCTCTAGCCTTTCTGATATCCCTCAGTTGTTTGCTGCTGCTTCTGCTGCATAGCACTACTTTGAGATATACCAAAAGTGTGGTTAGGAATGTTCAGCAGCTTAGCATATGTTTTTAACAAATCTAAGTGAAACCATTTTGTCTAACTCATCCTGTACACAACTTCCCAGTTAAAGTTTGGATTATTTTCTTCCTTACTAATCAGTCCTTCTTAAACCCACAATTTTTGCCTGCGCATAATAGTTAACACTGAATTTTGTTCGTTAAATGTTTTTACCAGCAAATGTAAGTGGTAAGCATTTTTGCCATTCAGCGTAGTAGCTACATGGTTCTTCAGTATGGACTGGAAAGGCAAAAGGTTCTCTCAGCATTCACAGAGTGATCATGTGTGCTTCATTTCATGGCAGTTCCAGTATGTCTGCTGTACAGTAAACCTTACTGTCAACCTCATTAGTGAACCCTGTTGGCAAAAGACTTGCCCAGCTGATCCCATCCTGCCAACATTCCAGTCCTGGGGCTGAATATCATGCTAGCCTCTTGTCGTGAAATGAAGAATTAGACAACTTAGAGGCCTTGGCTGTCTGGGAGTAAATCCAGGCATCCTGGCCCCAAGGGACCATAATCTCTCCTTAGCTGCCAGGAAAAGAGCAGCTAAGACAAGGTAAGTGGAAGTGAGCCTCAGAGAGGAGAGGTACAGGAGGATGAAAGGATCACAGGAGCAAGCCAGAAAAGAGAGACTGAAGGCTGGGAGAGGTTCTTCCGCCCCAAAGGTAGAGGGTCATGGGCATGTGACAGTTGTGGCAGCAGGCTTCATATTCCTTTAAAATCAACTAAAAACTTTCTTTTATGCTTTTAAGGTATTATGAAGACAGATAACACAGAAGTTCTTCTCTCTGCTGACTTCACTGGAGCAATCAAAGTGTTTATTAACAAAAGGAAAAATGTATCTTAATTTGAAATGACATTTAAAATAAACATATCAGTAAGTTTCTATATGTATCAGAACTGAAAAAGAGTTATAGTGTTTCAGGCCAACATCCTTTTTTTAATTTTTATTGGAAGTTGTTCAAATATAATATATTTTTTGAGAGGCAACGTTAATGATCTAGTAAACCCGAGACTGATAGACTAGAAAGGAATGTAGCTAGAATAACATTGCCAAACATTAGGCTTTATGTTTTGTTATGTTTGTGTTTTTGTTATATAATTGTGAACATGCACAGGTTTCTGCATGAAAATATATTAATATATTAATCACATGTGTGTGCCTTTTGGTTACATGCACTAAATCTAACAGAGTTAAATTATTTCAGTGGCTCTTTTGGCCTCTTACTGAGGGGGAGTGTCTTGTTTCTAGCTTAAATAATTTCTTTTGCACAAAATTTCATTTTTAAGAGAAGTGGTATCTTTTGACTGAGTTACTATTTTTAAAATGTTATATAGGTTTTCAGTAGGTCAACAACCATGTGTAAATGGTTTTTATAAATTTCTCAATTTGGGGACTTTTTTTGTGTGTGGTCTAAATTGTGGACTTAAGATTCTTTTTTTGTATGTGTGTGTGTGTGTGTGTGTGTGTGTGTATTCTCTTTTTTTTTTTTTTTTTTTGGCCACACTGGAGCACAATGTTTCCTATGTAAAGAATTCTTTTCATTCTTTATCCATGAGCACCAGGCTTTGCTCACTTAAAAAAATTAAGCCACATTAAGGAGTGAGTCTTCTTTTTTTTTTTTTTTTTTTTTTTTTTTGCGGTACGCGGGCCTCTCACCGCTGCGGCCTCTCCCGTTGCGGAGCACAGGCTCCGGACGCGCAGGCCCAGCGGCCATGGCTCACGGGCCCAGCCGCCCCGCGGCATGTGGGATCCTCCCAGACCGGGACACAAACCCGTGTCCCCTGCATCGGCAGGCGGACTCCCAACCACTGCGCCACCAGGGAAGCCCGTGAGTCTTCTTTTTTTACGATAATGTAAAAATGGACAGTTTACATTTTTTAAAGCATTGTAGTTTTAAAAATTAAGCTGTTTTGTGTTGTTGAATTTGAAAGCCTTTGTAAATATTGATATAATGTACCAATGAAATAACATCTGGGGTGATGGAACCCTGATAATGTTGTTGATGGTTAGCATATGTTTCTGAACATTAAATATGTATTATTAAAAGTTGGTGGCCAAAACTTGTTAAACATATGACTTTATTTTCAGATGACTTCGGTAAATTGAGAAATGTAAAAAAACCAAAATCTTGTTTTATAATTTGATTTTTAGTAAGCAGAGATCAAATTTTGGACCCCTAAATTATAATGCATTAGCTACATACCTTTAAGAAAAAAAGTTTTTAATTCTAGTTCAAAATGAACACTGCTAACAGTTCATCTGTATGCTTATATGTTCTTTACTGCATTTGTTTTCAGTATATAGGTGAGAAGCTGGGGAGCCGTGATCACATCCTTATCAATCAGCATGGTCTTTTTAAAAAAATTTTATTTTATTTATTTATCTTTGGCTGCGTTGGGTCTTCGTTACTGCACATGGGCTTTCTCTTGTTGCGGTGAGCAGGGGCTACTCTTTGCTGCGGTGTGTGGGCTTCTCATTGTGGTGGCTTCTCGTTGCAGAGCATGGGCTCTAGGTGTGTAGGCTTCAGTAGCTGTTGCTCACGGGCTCTAGAGCACAGGCTCAGTAGTTGTGGCGCACGGGCTTAGTTGCTCCGCGGCATGTGGGATCTTCCTGGACCAGGGCTCGAACCCGTGTCCCCTGCATTGGCAGGCGGATTCTTAACCACTGAGCCACCAGGGAAACCCATCAGCATGGTCTTGAGGTATCGTGGATTTTCTAGTTCATTGCATATTATTTGCCTTGGTTTTACCCCTATGCTGCTTTCTTCCTCTTGCCAGTGCTTTGCTTTCTCCTTCCCCTCCTCTCACCTCCCTCACACTTCTCTCCTCACCTCTGCTCACTTTTCTGTACTCTACCTGACAGACCGAGTTGTTATGCCATTGGCTTTTTAACCAGTCACTTTCGTAGTCTCAGGGTCTGGATGGCAGTGTGATTGGTCTAGTGTGTCAAAGAATTCAGTGTCTTCAACCCTCTTGGCTTTCACTGACTTCTGCCTGAGGCCTTGTAGTCTGCTGCGGTGCTGGATGTTTCAACTGCAGATAATCAGGGTGTTGCCAATATGAATATTTCCTGATAGGTTTTATGTGGTTTCTTGGACAAAAAGGCAAAAAATAGTTGGGATGCAAGCTTAAGAGAACAATACTGACACTTCTAAATTTCGTTTTATAAATTGTTGGCTATCACTATATAAATACACTGCGAAGTTACAAGTTAGAAAGTGAGTTTGAAAAGGTAGCATGAAGATGTATACAAAGAAAAATTGAACAATATTTTTCCCTAAAATGAATATTAGAAACTCACTGTAATAAGTTGTGTGGTATTATAGGAAGGAGCACAGATTCTAGAATTAGATAAACTTAGATTTGGTTTCCTCTGTTAGCACCTTCCTTGAGCAAGTTATTCTGTATTAATTTCCATGTCCTTATCTGTAGTACAAGAATATCTAATGGAAATTGTAAAGATTTATTGAGAAATCGTGTATGTATAAAGCTTGGTACCTAGCCAGTAGGTGTACTCAACAAACACACATTTCTCACTGCCTCTCCCGAATCCCTGAGTACCCTCCTAGACCAAAAAAAAAAAAAAAAAAAATGTGGAAGTGCTTTCTAGATATTGAGATTTCATGGACAAATAGTATTTTAGGGATTGACATAGGACACCAGCCTTCTTCTGCCAACTCAACACTTAAAAACTGCCACCGTCTACTATCACCTCATCATAAAAGAGAGAACATTTTAATACTAAAAAAGTCACTAAGAAAAGTCAAGCACAATCTTATCTTAGAGCAGCAGTCTAAAGTGAATAAACCTAGCTTTTGAAAAAAGTAACCATATTACCTTATTTTCCCTTTTTCCTTTGGTGAAAATTTCATCACAGACTTGGTGTGGCTGCCTGAACAAGTTTAAAACCACATTTCATTAAAAACTCTTTGAAGAGTCATATTGAGCCTTCCCCTGCCTCCATCTTGTTTACCTTAATTGGAATTAAAATATGAATGACTCAACATATTTAGCATGCCATTTTCTCTCGTCTTCAAATTATACAGCTGGGCAGTTGCTTTTTATTCTTTGAAATATATATTTAACATTAATATATCCATCCCCAAAATTCTAGTTTCAGTTGTATAATTTTGAGAGCCAGCTCTCCTCACTGATACGAAAAAAATCAAATTATCAGAATGTTTTTAAGTTATTTAATTATTATGGAGATTCAAGATAAAGTTTTCAAAAGAAAATCATTCCCAGTTTCACTGGTTTCTAGCTTCCTGCCTTCTTCATTAAGCAGATGTTTATTGAACACCTACTATGTACAGACCACTGCTGGGACTAGAAAAGAATAAGGCAGCAGCCATGTGCCAGAGGAGCTCACAGTCTGATGGAGAAGATGGCCACAGAAACAAGTAAGAGACTTGGAACTATCTTGTGGCTGTGGCCCTAGAAATGCCCCTTCTCATCCTATCCCCTGTCTGTTCTACCCTTCCTAGTAACTCATGGCAGCCACTTGATTCTCAGGCCCATCTTAGTTCATCTAATATTACAAGTAGCAAGGATAAAATATGGGTAAAAGACCCTTATGAGTAAGCCATAGGTAAGGTGGAAAAAATGGAGTACCCACCATGCCAACATCTTCGCTGGTCTCTGGCTCCCTCCTCCCAGACTAAAATCATTGTCTATTTCCTCTAAATTCTTACCTGTCTTCTGTTTTGAGCTAACTCCTGTTTAACAGACCCCCCCTTCCCCGCAACTGCTCTCCTATTCCCTTCAGTTCTGAAGCTTGGTCCATTTTTCTTTCATTCTCTAGATTTGAGTCATCTAGTCTTGGGGAAGCCAGGTTCCCCCTGTTAGCCACAACCACTTGGCTGGTGTAGACCCATGCACATGAAGTAAATTTAGGTTGATACAGCAGGGCCAGTGTGAAGGGTGGTGTGGAAATGAGGGGAGAGATCCACTGCAGAGTCCCCAGCAAATCAAATGTCATCATGTAGGTAATCTACAGTGGTCCAGGCAGATGGAGTTTGCCTGTATGTCCAGCTACCCTGCATTACATTTTAAAATTTTTATTTTGGAATAACTTTAGATTTACAGAAAAGTTGCAAAGAAAATACTGAGTTCCCATATACTCCTTACCCAGTTTCCCTTAATGTTAATATCTTACGTTACCATGGCACAGTGATCAAAACTAAAACCCGCATTGGTACAATGCTATTAAGTAAACTCCAGGCTTTATTCACATTGCACCAGTTTTCCACTAGTGTCCTTTTTCACTTCCAAGATCCAGTCCAGAATACCTTATTGCATTTAGGCATATTGTGCTTTCTTAATTTAAATAAACTTTTTATTTTAGAATAGTTTTAGATTTTTCAGAAAAGTTTGCAAAGAGTTCACATATCCCCTGTACCAATTTCTCCTATTGTTAACATCTTACATTACAATGGCACATTTTTCACATTAAGGAACCAACATTTGTACATTACTGTTAACTAAACTCCACACTTTATTCAGGTTTCACTAGTTTTTACCTAATATCCTTTTTCTGTTCCGGATTCCCTTCTAGAATGTAACATTACACATGGTCGTCAGGTCTCCTTAGGCTCTTCTTAGCCACAACGTTTTCTCATGCTTTCCATGACCTCAGCAGTTTTGAGGAGTACTGGTTAAGTATTTTGTTGACTGTCCCTCAGTTTGGGTTTGTCTGGTATTTTTCTCATGATTCAACAGGCTATGAACTTTGGGGAGGAAGACCACAGAGGTGAATTACTCTTTTCATTACATCACATCAAGGATATACACTATGGAGAACAGTATGGAGATTCCTTAAAAAACTAAAAATTGAACTATTATATGATCCAGCAATCCCACTACTGGGCATATAGCCGGAGAAAACCATGATTCAAAAAGATACATGTACCACAATGTTCACTGCAGCACTATTTACAATAGCCAGGACATGGAAACAACCTAAATGGCCTTCGACAGACGAGTGGGTAAAGAAGATGTGGCACATATATACAATGGAATATTACTCAGCCATAAAAAGGAACAAAACTGAGTTATTTGTAGTGATGTGGATGGACCTAGAGTCTGTCATACAGAGTGAAGTAAGTCAGAAAGAGAAAAATGAATACTGTATGCTAACGTATACATATGGAATCCAGAAAAATGGTACTGATGAACCCAGTGGTAGGGCAGGAATAAAGATGCAAACGTTGAGAACGGACTTGAGGACATGGGGAGGGTGAAGGGTAAGCTGGG